TGTCATCCAATCACGGCATGAAGTCAGGTAAACAGTCCCTCTTTATCTTCTTTCTTCTCTGCTTCGTTCTCTTCCCATGGGTAACAGGTGTTGTTTGTCTTAGCATGTCTGCAACCACGCCACAACAAGGTCCATCCTTCTTATCTAGGAATGTTTCCCTCAGGCCTACAGAAAAACATTCCCACCTTTTTCTGAACAATACACTGTCAGCATGCAGAAATCATTTATACAGAGAACCAAAATGGAATCCATCTTACATTGTTCACTACTACATATCCCATCTTCAGTACAAGATTTAAACCACATAGCCCATCTCATGACAGACTAGAGATCTATAAGCTGCTTATATATTGCCTACTAAGACAGACAATAATATTCAAGATGTTGCTAAATCCATTGTGCATTGGAAGGGAAAAAGCAACAGTATAACAAGGGAACCTATCCAGCCTCACAAAAAAGGTGCCACAATTCTTTTGGCTTTGCTTTCATTGTTTGCCTCTTAAGGAAGTCGAGAGATGGGATTGTAACCAAGCAGCTTTGCTTTGCAATTTTTGCAGGCTGTTTAGAGGTGGTAGTTAGTAGTTCAACTTGTCCCTGTGTGAGCCACCCAGCTGAATGTAATCCACGGGCCATTTATGGTAGCCCACTGTGACCTCAGTAAGCATTTTGAACAGGGTATCCATCTTGGATTGTGGAAACTAGGGTGTTATTAAACGATACTGGTTGAATTGAATTTGACATTTTTATTCAGAAGCATAGCTTGGAAATGTTACCTTTTAAGATTATAACTCCAAGCATGGCCCCTTATAGCCCTGTGGCTATAAGCCATGGTGGCTGAAGGTTCTGGGAGTTGTAGTCCATAAAATAATTCATTGAAACTGCAGAATGTATTGTGCAGCACAGTTGACCATCTTCTATAAAGACCCTCCTTTGCAACCCATAAACATCTGAGTTGTGCTCTGGATAGCCTTGCTGATTGTGGAATTCATGGAGTTGTTGTCTTATAAAAGTAACTTTTCCAAGCTCTGTTCATAAGTTATGCAGGCCCAGAGTAACAAGTGAAAGTTTCAAGAGGAGTTTCAAATTATACTGTCTTCATTGGAATGCAATGAAGGAGCTGCTATGGTGTGGAGTGCCAAGAAACCCATTTCCCTTGATTTCAGTAGAGGCTACGTGCCAAATAGCAGAACAGATGGATGTACAGTATCTGATTGGGATGCAATCAGATGCATCCTTTAGAAATGGCCAGAAAAGTTTTTAGGGATTTTTCTATCTTTCATGCATGCAAGATCAAAACCAAGAATCCTACATTCTGTCTATGGCGACAGTTTGGAACACATTTATGAACACTTAAATCCTAATGATTTCATGATTTTTCCCCTCTCGCAGAACCTGAAAATTCTGCTCTGAAAACAGTGTTCCAAGATACTGTTGCCCCCTCCAAGATTGATTGCTACGGTTAAAGAACTAGCCCATGTACATGGTTTGGGGCCATGTTAAGCAAGCCAAGGGTGATGAGTGTTTGAGCCATGCAAAGCACGAAAGTGAATACGTGGTAGTACTAAAGAGAAATGACACTTAAGACATTTAAGGGGAAGGATCCAAATTTATAAAGAAAACATTACACCCTCAGAGTGATTTAGATATCTGGCTGTGGAGCCAGAAGTTGGGAGTTCAATTCTCCACTGTGCCTTCTTGACAGGGGCTGGACTTGATGATCTGGGATCCCTTCCACCTCTGCATTTCTCCAATTCTAAGATATTATTTAACACAGTATGTACAGTATTTTGACACACATTTTACCGCTGATTGAAAATCTTGGGCTGTGCTATGTTTGCTTTCTAGATGGGAGTCCATGTGGTGGATTCTGCAGTTGCTGGTTTAGGAGGCTGCCCCTATGCAAAAGGTGCCACAGGAAATGTAGCCACAGAAGACGTGATATACATGCTGGATGGTTTAGGAATCAATACGGTGAGCTACTTTTCACGTACCAAGAAGATTTTGAAACTGTGAATTGCAGAGTGGCGGAATGCTGGGTTGCTATAAAATGCTTCTTGCTCTAGCTATGTTGATTTTAAATACTGATAATCATTGCAATAAATAGGATGTATCACTAGTACACATTTATACATGGATACATTCTAGATTAATAACTACAAGGAAATGTTAGACTATTTAGCATATCTGATCCTGTAAAAAGAGGGGGAAAAATTCACTATTGCCAACAGAAAACTTCCAGTTTGCTTCTAAGAGCCAATATATAATGTTACTCTACTGCCAAATAATGATGTATATTCCATTCTAGCTTGCTATTTGGAATTTGTTAGCTTTGAATTGTTCAGTAGGTTTCCAAATGTCATTCCTTGTCACTATTCTTAGTCTCAATTTTTCAGACCCTCTTCCTGAAAATACCAGTTCAGGCATGAGTACCTGCCCAGCACCTTCTATAACGAAAGCAAACCAAAAGAATTCATTTAGACCCAGAACATACTACCAAAAAAAAACCCTATTTAAATTGAGCTTAGCATGTTTCACATCGATTTAAATTTGGGTATTTACATGAGGTACATACATACGTAGATTAATTTGGAAGGAATCTTGTCTGTGTGTGGCTGAGAGTTATTTTACTCCTCCCCCAGAGGTCTGTTTATTTTACCACAGATGTAGAATTGATTCCACACATGGGAATGCCTCTGTTTGACTTTTTTTTTAATTCCTACTATCTGATACAGCACTATAACATGGTCCATTTGCCATGTTCGCTCACCCACCTCTTCATTTGCTTTCCTTCCCTGCCTTTCTCATTCACCCACTTGTCCGAACCCCCAGTCACCTCAAAGTTTCCTTTCCCATTTCAAAGCCGCTGTGAATATTTTACATAGGGGGCTCAGTAATTTCCCCACCATTAAGAGACTACTTAGTGCTGTTCTTTTGTTGTTGTTGTTGTTTAGTCGTTAAGTCATGTCTGCCTCTTCATGACCCCATGGACCAGAGCACACCACGTCCTCATGTCATTCACTGCTTCCCGGAGTTGGGTCAAATTCATGTTGGTAGCTTCAATGACACTGTCCAACCATCTCGTCCTCTGTCGTTCCCTTCTCTTCTTGCCTTCACACTTTCTCTTCTCATGAGATGGCCAAAGTATTGGAGCCTCCGCTTCAGGATCTGTCCTTCCAGTGAACACTCAGGGCTGATTTCCTTCAGAATGGATAGGTTTGTTCTCTTTGCAGTCCAGGGGACTCTCAAGAGTCTCCTCCAGCATCACAATTCAAAAGCATCAATTCTTTGGTGGTCAGCCTTCTTTATGGTCCAGCTCTCACTTCCATACATCGCTACTGGAAAAACCATAGCTTTGACTATGGGGACCTTTGTCGGCAAGGAGATGTCTCTGATTTTTAAGATGCTATCTAGGTTTGTCATTGCTTTCCTTCCAAGAAGCAGGCATCTTTTAGTTTCATGGCTGCTGTCACCATCTGCAGTGATCGTGGAGCTCAAGAAAGTGAAATCTGTCACTGCCTCCATATCTTCCCCTTCTATTTGCCAGGAGGTGATGGGACCGGTGGCCATGATCTTAGTTTTTTTGATGTTGAGCTTCCAACCATTTTTTGCACTCTCCTCTTTCACTCTCATTACAAGGTTCCTTAATTCCTCCTCACTTTCTGCCATCAGAGTGGTATCATCTGCATATCGGAGGTTGTTGATATTTCTTCCGGCAATGTTAATTCTGGTTTGGGATTCCTCCAATCCAGCCTTTCACATGATGTATTCTGCATATAAATTAAATAAGCAAGGAGACAATATACAGCCTTGTTGAACTTCTTTCCCAACTTTTAACCAATCAGTTGTTCCATATCCAGTTCTAAATGTTGCTTCCTGTCCCACATACAGATTTCTCAGGAGGAAGATAAGGCAGTCAGACACTCCCATTTCTTTAAGGACTTGCCATAGTTTGCTTTGGTCCACACAGGTTTCTGCGTAGTCAATGAAGCAGAAGTAGATGTTTTTCTGGAACTCTCTGGCTTTCTGCATAATCGAGTGCATGTTAGCAATTTGGTCTCTAGTTCCTCTGCCTCTTCGAAATCCCGCTTGTACTTCTAGAAATTCTCGGTCCACATACTGCTGAAGCCTACCTTGTAGGATTTTGAGCATAACCTTGCTAGCATGTGAAATGAGTTGGAGCATTCTTTGGCACTGCCTTTCTTTGGGATTGGGATGTAGACTGATCTTTTCTGCTGAGTTTTCCAAACTCGCTGGCATATTGAATGTAGCACCTTAACAGCATCATATTTTGAGATTTTAAATAGTTCAACTGGAATGTCATTACCTCCACTGGCCTTGTTGTTAGCTCTGCTTTCTAAGGCCAACTGGACTTCACTCTCCAGGATGTCTGGCTCTCTACAGCTTTTCCTTTAGCTGTAGTGACTCAGTGAAAGAGGCTGACCCTTTAAAATCTTCTGATCCAGTTGAGAATACATCCTCTTGGGGTACAGAGCTATGTATCCCATTAGGACGTGATTTTTTGCTCGTTCTACAGAGTTTATCCAGTGATCTGGTATGTATAAAGGAATTCTGTGAGCTACAGTTCATAAACACAAATGTGCACACCTCTGATTCCCACCTGGTTCTGTCCAGTCTCTCAAGTTCTACTGCATGCTTGTGGCCTGTATCCATTCCCTCTTCATTTCACTACCACCCTAGAGGAATTATTCCAATAAAACTGGAATTTTGTTGGCTGTCATTGGCTTTCCAACACAGAACACTTTAGAAAGTTCTCTGCCGGCTTGATTTGGTTAAGCACCAGCATTCTGTTTCCCTTCTTGTTCAGGTGGAGCCCATCTCTTTTGTACAGGCCTGGCTTGTGCAAGAATGTTTCTCAGTGCCTAATAATTCTAAATAGCTCCTTATACTACAGTCCCCTCCATGCATTGATCCTTCAGCCGTCTAGCTGGCCCTGTGCCTGGAACAGGTAGTATTTTAGAGAAAGCTGTGTTGGAAATCCAGGCTTTCAACCACCTAAGTTTTTCGACATTTCTCCATGTCTTACATCACACTACCTAGACATCTGCAAATCTTGCACCGGGCAAAAATGCCACCACACAGTCTATATATACTCATCACAAATGTAGCTATGTCTCTTTCTAATGACTGCAGCTCTATACTAGAAATGCTGCCTGTAATCCTTCAGTTAACTGGATATGGAATGGGTAAAACATATGCAATATATTTGCTACCACTGAAGTTCCCTCGGTGTATTTCCTACTTTGAGCTAGTCAGCTTATTTTGATTCTTTGAGGCATTTTCTAGATATTATTCCAGCTGCACTGGAGCTCCTCACCCATGAATGAGAGAACGTGTAAATGATTCAAATACAGTTGATCATTTTGTCTTCTCTGTGAAATCTATACCTCTTTTCCTAGAGCAGTTCCATTTCCCAGAGAGGTGCAATTAACTCTTATTCAGAGGACTGGCCTAGTGCCCCCCCTCCACCTTTCAAATCTCTATGGCAATGTGTACACAATATTCAGTGCTGCCTTAAAAAACACACAAATAGTTTTGAAAAACTCTGCAGTTGCAGCTGTGTTCTAGGTTGATGAGTTTATTTTCCTGTTTGCTAGCATTTAGCAGGTACCACTTACTGAAATTACACATTGCCCAATGTTTACATTCTGTTTGAACTATCTCCTGGCTTCCTTTCAGCTCTGTGTTCATGTTCTTGCTTTGTTGACTGAAGTCACTACAGAAGAATACACAATGGATGATGAAGTGCCTTTTGAGTATTCATTACTGCTTTCAGATGGGCAGTTAATGCACTTTTCAGTGTGCTGTTCAGATTGATTCGTCAAAGTCTCAGTTGACTGAAGGAAAGCTGAATTTGAGCAATACAGATTGCAGTGCAGTAGCAAAGATTAAGCTCATGCTACAGATCAAGCACATATGGGAAGATCAGCCAAGAGACAAAACTATGATTGAAACTAGCTAATTATTATTATTTTCTTATTTACAGGTACTGTGTGTCAAAATCAGTGGGGCTTTGAAAGAATCACTATTTAGTGTTATACTTTAATTTCAAAAACATTTTCTGAGAAGTGCAACCTGCCAGATTTTTAGAGATTTTACCCCATGACATTCAACAGAATTATCACACCCTTTATTACCAGGTGGGATGGCTACCAAATGGACATAGATACATGGTCAAAAAGGGGGCTATAGCCGATTGTTTCTTTTTGTCCTCATCTAGCCCTGAGCACTGTTCTTTTCACTTGGCCCCTACTTCATAAAAACACCATAAGAGGAGTCCCTATTACTTTAGACCAAAAGCCCATCAGATCTGGCTCTCCCCCCCCCCCAATAGTGGCCAGCCATTTAATTTTCAGGAGGTAAACCTAAAACAGATGGAAATAGTATTGGGATATCATTTATTTGTTGATACCTCAGCCCAGACCTCCAGATTACTTCATTCAGCCCTTTCACGTAGATGTTAAAAATAGGGAGAGCAAAATAAAATGTTGTAGGACCCCACAATTTAGGAGGTAGGGTAGAAAGACATACTGATTTTAGAATGTGAAACATTGTATGGAAATGTTAAATCATCATCAAACAGGGTGATCTAACACAGTTTCTTTGTGATATTGGTTAATTTGAGAGACTAGATGTATAAATAATTTCTTTCTCTCTCTCTCTCTCCCTCTCCCCCAGGGTGTGAATCTTTATAAGGTTATGGAAACTGGTAATTTCATTTGCACATCGTTGAACAAGAAAACAAATTCTAAAGTTGCACAAGCTTCCTTCAGTGGTTGAGTTGCCCAAAAAGGAGAGTCACGTTTCTAAATATCCTATATCTGTCTATCAGTGTGCTCTACATATTTACAGCTGCATTGGGCAAATATGTTGCAATAACTATTTCAGCAGAGAAGGGAAATGGCGGCGTAGTTAATATCTGATATGACAGTGGCATCAGTGTATCATAAAATCAAACTGGAAACCTTCAGATATGGTTGTCTAATAAAACCTTCTCTCTTTGCGTGGGTCCAGTGGAGATTGTCTACCTACAATCTGCCAGCAGGCTTTGTTAATGGGGCCTCATCCAACTTCTGGTTTCGTTGTTCCTCGGTGGAGCATAGCTGTGTCCATGTGGGGAGAGAAAAGTGTGTGTATTTGCTTTCATGCATGAGACAGAAAATGTATGTTTAAGATCGAGGCAGTACACATACTCATCTATTTGTTCAGCATTGTGCATTTTTAGTAAAATTCCATTTCATTAACCAGTAGAAATACAGAAATTCATAAAGGGGAATAGCTGCAAGTTCCCCAGAGTCCATCCCTTTCACACTAACTAGCCTTTAAAATCTCAGTAACTCACTCTGAGAAAAAGCGAGAAAAAAATAAAGAGAAAAAAATAAAAATTTTCCTTACTTACAGTTGAGAACAGATCAACATCAAAGAAGGGCACCAACTGAAGAAAGAGAGGGGGAAAAACACTCAGCAGAGAGGTGGGGGGGTCTCTTTGAAAGACTGGAAGGAACAATTGGTTAGTGATGGATATAGACAATCACACCAGCCCAGAAAAGCCCTTTCCAGTCACAGAAACTACAGATAGCATGTGTATGTATGCTACATGATGTATGTATGTATGTATTTGTTTATTTATTTATTTATTATACCACCCAGTTAGTGAATTCACATTACTCTGTTCACTGTACAAACAAAAAGTTGCAAACAAAACTCCAACAGTATTTAATTAAGTATACCTTGAAGCAAAATTTTACCACATATCCCAAATATGGATCAACTGGAGTGACCTCCAGCCCATAAAATTTTACACTAACAATAACAACATACTTTTTAATCTTCTAGGGTCCCATGCAATATGCTTAGTCTTCTAGGTTGCCATGGGGCTTTGCATCCATTCCATTCAGTTTTGGGGAACATGAATGTATGTTGTTGACTGAATGTTTAAAATGTACAGGCCAGAATCTTATTAAGTTTGCACAGCATAAATTCAGTTGTGTAAGTGATGTGCACAATCATGCAGTGGTGCACTCTGACATATTGAGGGCAACCAGAACCGCTCATGCAATCTACCTTATGCAGGCAGTAATGGACATTAAGATTAGAAATGGGCATGATATGCGGCACACTTAGACAAGGAGACAGGACAGCCAAACTTGTGCTCCTGCCAGGGACTGGTTGGGCAGTCAAAGAGGAAGAGGAGAGGAGCATGCGCCAGCTTGTGAGGGGTGTACTGGCTGAGGTTCGTGCCCATCTCCAATTAGGATTTTGGCCACACTTGACCTGACCAAGAAAGGTCAACAGAGATATCAAACATTAAATAAATAAATGATATAATCAGTCCACTCTTGAGAGTTACAAAATCTTTCCTAGGACATAACAAATCGTGTCTCTTAAGATGTAAGGATAATGATTTAGAAGAAATGTTTGCTATGCTAACATAACATGAAGAAAATGGCACAACATCATGAGTTTTCTATGTGGAAAATGTATCCGGGAATCAAAGAGGAGACACACCACAAGCATGACTGTTAAGGAGCAGAATGGCCTTTAATATAGATGTGTGTACTGCTTTAAAGCTGAAACGCAAGCCTGCCAGCTGTGTACAGGAGGCCATGCACTTAATCACTTTGGAAACACTTTAAACATGGAACGCGTTTTTTGGGTTTTTGCCTCAAGTTCCAAAAAACAAGGGATGCATGGTTTGCATTTAGCTTTGTGGATCACACAGTGAGAAGGCCCTACTTTAAAAGGGCCTTTAACTCCAGTTTTAAACCACTGGGATACAACTGGCTGCCAGATTCTAAATATAGTACGTACATTGTTATTTCTTAATCAAGCCGGCTTTTAGAGTTCTGTAAATATTTGCAGAAAGCGATGAGATTTATCGTTGTGTGTGGCCTGGCAGTTAATGTGTTTTATTTTTCCAGATTACCTCTTTGCATTTGCCAAGCCAATTATGCTAGGAACAGGAGCCAAACCCAGATTTGCTGTGAGTAGGACATGGGTAACGTTTAACTATGGTTGGGCATCTGTTAAGAATATGAATGACTTTATCATGTTCCAAGAGGTTGTAGGAAATGGCAGCCTGCCATACGCTGCAAATTTATGGTGTCCTCCTGTAGTTGTTACATACATTGTTAAATTCATTGTAATCTGGTTTTACTCTATGCATTAGAAAGAATAGCAATGGTGGTAGAGAAAATGCACTGTTGCTACCTAAGTTCCATTTTTTTCTCATAGGGGAGTGCAAAACAGCTGGGCAGACATGTTGAAAGCATGGACGTTGTGCAAGAGAAAATGCACTGTTGCTACCTAAGTTCTATTTTTTTTCTCATAGGGGAGTGCAAAACGGTTGGGCAAACATGTTGAAAGCATGGACATTGTGCAGAAGCACAGTGTTTGTTAGATCCCTCCCATATAGAATTCTGATCAAACCAAATACATTATTCTTCAAGACAGCAACACTGTATATATACTCCAACTTAGACCAGCAGGCACAATCTAAGTTGGAGTCATACTGTGCAGCAGAGGAGTTTTAACATTTTGCCCCTACCCACCCCAGTTTTGGTACATTACGCAGGAGAAGAATTCATGGGGTGAAAATAGAAAGGAAGAGGATGGTAACGAAACATTAGGTCAAGCTTCTTAACTTGTTTGACAGCACTGCTAGAACCCATTGAACAGACCTGACCTCCACTGATGTTAGAAGATCACCAGGGTGAGGCCCAACTGGTACAGTAATTGGATGGGAGATCACCAGGGAAGACAGTGTGCATCTCTGAGAAGGTTAAGAAGACAGTACACCTAGGATGCTGCAGAGCTGCTGTCAGTAAGAGTTGACAGTATTAGGCTAGATAGACCAATGGTTTGACTCAGTATAAGGCAGTATATTGAGTCTACAGCATAACATCCTATGACAAAGGGGTGGGGGGATGAACTGCTGTAAGAAACAGTGGATTCTTCTTGACCGGAGGTACTTCAAGAGAGATGGCATGGCCATGTCTTAGAAGTGTTGTAATTGAACCCTACATTGCAGAGCCTGTAATGAGCAAGGAATTAGATGGGACTAGACAGCTCGCTATAGTCACTACCAGATGTGAATTCTTAAGTTCTGATTTTCCACTTTTGTGTAGTTGTTTTAGAAAACCCTACACATATAGTAAGTTCTTTGGGGCACGTTCAGCCTCTCTCTAAATTTCCCTTCTCCTTGCATGTCAATTCATGGGTCAACTAGATGATCATTCCTCAGTGAATGTGGAGTGGATTGGCAATACAAATGTTTCTGTCACCCTGGTCAGTTCCCTGTTATGTATTCAACGTTGTAGTAGTTGTGAGATCAGCTGCACAGCTATCTATGTGAGGGGAAACTTGCTGGAGCAGCTGCGATACTTATGCAGTTGGCCTTGCACTCTGTGTTGCCTGAGCAGGATACTGGCCAATACACTTAAAATATTTTTATCCCACCTTTCTCCTTAAAAAGAACCCAAGGTGTTTTTTTTAAAGAAGAGGTGCTCCCTGCAGGGGTGAAATATGTCTGTTTGTCATGGCGTACGATTTTCCTCAGCCACATATCTTGCATTTAGCATGTTTTGTTCTGTGTTTGGTTATGTGAAGGCAAGCTCGGTTTAATTTGAAGATCTTGCAGCTGAGGCAATCCCTCTGTGAGAAGAAGAACTGGTTAACTAGAAGAAATACACATTTGCCATATAATAACTAGACTGCCCCTGGGATGGAATTTCTCCCCTAGCAAAAGTGTCCTATGCCTATAGGTGTACGCACATCCATCTCTGTGCCTCCATGCCTTTCTCAATGTGCAGGAGTATTAGAGGCAGTGCCTTTAGGCCTTTGTGTTACTAGCTGTAGCATCATCCTTGATGTCCAGTGGTTGCTTACTCTGCTCTTGGTAGCACAGGAAGGTCACCCAACTCATGTTACCCCAGAGACAGTAGTGCTGTGTGTACTGTAACAAACATAGTAATGGTAATAGTTCTACTGCTGCATATATATATATAAATACAAAGGTATTAATGCAGATAGAAGCAAGTTACTCATTCATTTTGTGTATGTATTTTGATTATTTTTAAAACCATAAAGCACTTTCTTCTCATGTCTACTCATGCTCTCATATTTTTGAATATTCATCTGAAGCACTGTTTGATTGAATGCATCTGTTATTTGCTCTCACCAGTTTATAGTGTTTATCTTAAGAATTAGAGAGAACACTGGAGAACAACCTGACATGCTACAAAATGACACATTTGTTAGCTACGGGTGACCAATCTACACATAAATCATTTGTAACGATCGGCTGCCTTTTCACCTTATGTTGACAATATTGGGTTATAATAAACTATAGGATACACTTGCTTCTGTTTCTTTTCTTTCTTTTTCTAAAAATTGTGGCTCCACCTGGCTTTTATAGGTAATTTATCCCTTTTAAAGTAATGGCAGGAGTAGATTTCGTTTTTCTATTTCTCGTTTGGAAAAAAAGCTCTCAGCACCCCTGGCTTCACACACCCCCATCAGTCTGCCCAGGCCCACTGCTCTGTTGGCATCAAAAATGAGCTTTAAAAAGTGGCATTAACTGCAACTCTTGGAGTCCTGCAACCAGCATGTCCAGTGGGTACCTTGCCTGGAGAATTCTAGGCTCCAACGTCCAAAAGGACGTTTTTCCAAATGTTGCCTGAAATTTGGCTCAGAGCAACCAATTTAGCTTTCCACAATGTCTACTCCAAGCACTGGGCAGGAAGCACTGATTCAGAAGGTTGCTGAGGGTGACATGACTGCTGAGGAAGGCAGTGGTACAGGAGAGGGCGGTTTCTCTTAGAGTCTCTTCAAATATGGAGGAGCTGGCTCTCAAAACTATTTGTGTCTTCTAAGTGCTTGCCTTTGTTCTTCCAAGAAATGGTACTTTGGGGAGAGTTACTTCCAATGAATATACTTGGAATTAACTTTAAGTAAAGTTGCATCTGGTCTGTTACAGTAAAGTAGTAAGTAGAGTCTCTAGATACAAGGGTTTAATTTAGAAGTCCAATCCAGCACCTCCAGTTCACCATATTCCTTGCTGGATTGCACACTCAAATGGATGTTACACATATGGTTCATAGACTTAGATTGCTATTCATGTACTATCCTGTGAAAGTGACCAGGACTGTAACGAGGGGCTTGTCTACATGGGATCATTTGGAGTAGCCTGTTACTAGATAAAAAGAGTCACTTGAGGCCTGATGTGCTATTTGTGTGATCCTTGCCTCCAGATGGCATAGTCACCTCAAGCAACCCTATTTGATCTGCTTGCCTGTTCAAAATAGCAAAAAGGAAAACTCCCTCTCGTCTAATCTTGCTTCTGGGAGGAAGGTTTCTTTTCTTTTTTTGTAAGTGATGCAGTGCATCAGCTCTGCCCAATTTGGTTAAAAAAAGTGAAGGCGCAGGGAAAGTATGTTTTTAATTTGCCTATTTAGTACACATTATGTTGCTGTGAAAAAAAAAATCCCTTCTTTCTACTTCATGTCTCCTCTTCTAGAAGGAAGTTTTCAAAAAATTTTCAAAGTTATGCAGTGCATCAGCCCTGTCGTTGTACAATTTAAAAATATTACTTTCTCTGACCCTCCACAGAACAGAGTAAGTGTGCAATTTGCCAATATTGCGAAGTGGCTAAGCTTTCTTCTTGAGCCACTTGGTAATATTGGCAAATAGACAGCAGAAGGGAAATGTCACTCTGGAAATGACAAATGAAAATTGTACATATTCTCCTCCTTCACATTACTGGAGCCAACATCAGGATTCAGGGCAGAATAGGAGCCTCCTCAAATTCTGGACTTTTCCACTGATGTCATTGGGGGAGGGCACCTGCACACACACCAGTGTTTGCCCACTCAGAGCGTTTTGTACTCATTTAAATGATTGGGAAAGCCTAGTCATATTTGGGCACTCATGTGTTGGAAGCAAAGAAGGCACTGCTTCCAGTCAAGAGATGCTGCTAGAATAAGTGGCAAATTGCCTCAGAGCAGGGCTTCATTCATGCCAAACGGTGTGTCACAGTCCAAGATATCCCAGGCAGCCCCTCACCAGGGGCAAAGGCATCAGGGCCCAATCCATCACACAGAGTATCAAGTCAAAAAGCACTCAACCTCACAGTTGGTTGATCATGACCAAGTGGAAACAGGAGCACAAGGCTGAAAACACAGAGCCAGAACAAGATGCTGAGAGGCAGGAGGTGAGCAGAGACGAGAACAGGGGGCAAGGCAGGAACATGGCAGGAGCACAAGGCTGAGAACACAGAGCCAGAACAAAATGCTGAGAGGCAGGAGGTAAGCAGAGACGAGAACAGGGGCCAAGGCAGGAACAGAAACACTGGAGGCAAGATGCAGGGATGTAGTCAGCAAACAATGGCAAGAGCAGGAACAGATGCAGGAATATTGGAGCTCAGGAGCAGCAAGGTGGCCAGCACAGCACAACTGAGGACCTTCGTTGCTGAGACAGGCTGTGGGAGGGAGGCCTTCCCTCCAGGTTTCCAGGTGAGCCTCATGAGTGGCCCCAGCAGCTGCTACACAGGCCAGGGCCTGAGCCTGCAAACTCCAGGCCACTCCTGGCTCAGGCTGGCCCTGATCCTGCAGCTGCCAGGGTGGTGTGGGCCAGTCCTGACACAGTGGAGATAATTGAAATAAAGCTCCACACACAATGTGAAAATCCAAAGAGCTGAACTCTATGTGCAGTGGTTGTACTTCTTTTTTCTTAGGAAAAATGTAATTGGTCTGATTATTTAGCCTGTATGTTCTTTAGTGTCCTATGTATCCATTTCCTGATGTGTTCACGTTAACTTACAGCAATAGTGAATCATCATCCAGGTTGTTTTCTGTATATATTTAGAAGGGAGGAAAACCAGAACTGCCTAGAATAAATAGAAATGATATTTATTCTGAATAAGTTTGGAAAATATATTTTCAATTTAAATTTCTTCTTGATATTGTGTTTCACTTGTTGATAATAGCACTGAAATTAAACTTGGAGGTGAGGTGGGGAGTCCTCTCTTGAAATAGAAACATGGAAAAGAAGTGTGCTCACTCTTACACCTCTCTGGCCAGACTGAGGTCTTACGGATGAGTAAATACAAAATAGTGTTTGTGTCACTGCCGATTTAAATGGGAAGGAAATGTTGATGTAAAAATGATGCTGTATCCCAATCCGCCCATGGGAAAAATGTGTGTACGTTATTTGTGATATTTGCGTGTTTCCCAAAAGGAAAAACAAAGCCTCATGACTGGTTTTCCTGAGGCACAACATTACTTCTTCTACAGTACAAAAGCAGGCAACCTGGCCAGTGTTTGAGACCTATCATTCATTACAAAAACTAAACAACTCTAGGCTCCTCTGAATGTTTATGGCCAGCCTAGAAGTTTGTGACTTGGGATCAGGTCTAAGCGAGCAAGTCCTTTCACAACATGGGAAGTATAGTACCTCTGGTCTCCCCAATACTTAGCTATTGTTAGATAATTAGGTAGGTGCCTGCTACTAATCTGTTGTACCAGGAGATCAACAGGAGACCCTACTCAACCCTTCACCCACTCCTAGGGTAAAATATATAAATCCCTTTTAGTCTTGGCTCCCACACCACAACCAGTGGAAAAAGATTGTACCTGACAATTTGCCTCACCTCGGCTTCTTTGATCTTCTGCTGCCCACCCTTCTTTTCTCCTCCTGAGATGTCTGCCTCATTTGATTTAGCTAATGGAGCTACGAGGTGTTGTCTTGGTCTCATCTAGCTCTCAGGAACTGGGCCACCACTCCCATTAAATCAGATTCATAATCACTGTGCCAGTACTTCTGTTTATTTTTCATACTGTGTGAAAGCAATGTGAAGCCAAAAAGGACAGCTACCTACAAAGATGTGAGCACTGTAGGTCAATTCCAAGCATTTGGATGGGGCAGACATTCCTCTCCACCACCAGCATTTGCACCAGGTCAAGTTCCCCTTGCACTAGACCTGACACTGTGTCTGTTGGGGGGGGGCACCAGGTCAAAATGATGATTGACTGGGCCGTGCACAGGGAGGGAAGGAGGAGGAAACAAGAGGACAGGCTCACTGACAGAAGACATACTTTCCATGCAGGAGCTTCTTTTCGCAAACAGATTCCATGCATGTGTATCAACAAATATCATTTTCAAAAGGCTCCTGAAAAATCTGCTGGTTGAAAAGCTGGGGTGTTGGAGCTAGAAGGACAGATCACTTTCCAGGCCAGAAGTGTATAGTTTTTCTATATGTTTAAAAAAAGGGGGGGGGGACACTGCTAAGAATCAAAGCCCAATATCCCCCAGCATTATAGAAGTGACTATGGCCCCATTTCTTCTCTTGCCTCTGGTACGAAGGGAGGAGGTAGTCCAGATGGCAAGGAAAGGAGGCTACGCTGGACAGCATCCAGCCGTGGAATATGGGTCCCCAAGAAGATTCTTTTCTATGACTTCCTGGGCAAATCAAGTCCGTTTGTGCTGCTGCCACTGAAGTACTGTCAGCCTTAAATATGTGGCATTTGTACTGCAATAAGAATTCAATATGCCATGAATACTTTTTTAAAAAAGGAACTGCACACTACAGGGAAAAGGGCCAGCTCTATCGTTGGACAAAATGAGATTGAGATCACTGTCTCAGTCAGAAGGTTTTGGATAAAAACTAAAGACCCATCTCTTCAGGCAGGCTTTTAACAATTACAACTGAATCCCTGAACCTCATTTCAGCAAATAATTTTAATCTTTTCCATGTTTTAATCTTTTTAATTCTTACATTATATGTTGTTTAATTTATCTTTTAATATTAAAATTATTGTTTTTTTAAATTGTGTGAATTTTAATGTTGTGAGCTGCTTTGGGTCCTTTGTTGGGATAAATGCGGCATCATCATCATAGAGAATCAAATTGTTAGGTGCTTAATTCATTATTCTTGTATTTTTCCTTCCAGAAAAGAGAAGGGGCACCACCTTTTATGCCAAAACTATATAAGTAACAATTGCCTTGGCTTGGGCAGACGTGCCAATTGCTGCTTTGCTTCAGGTGGCAAAATAACTTAGCCAGTCGTATCCAGGAAGATTTCTAAGCAGGGTTGTAAGGTCTCCGGATGGTAGCTCAAGTCTCAGGGAATCAACAATTTTTTTCTGGTTCTCCAGGTGGGGAGACAAATCTCAGGGTGAGCACACCAGACAACTTTCATTTTTGTGTGTGTGAGTTGCTCTTAAAGCCTGGGCACCCAGTTGCAACCCCTTGCACTTGACGTGAGCCTCAGCATGAGGGCATTTGTACGTGCATTGCTTTAAATCACAGGATAGAACCATGTTCATTCATCAACTTGCTCTGTCCCAGGTTTTCTCATCTCATTACTGGATTTTTGGCACATCTCTTGGGCCTGTTGTACCACTTGGAGCAAAGCAGGTAGTGGACCACCAGCACTGCAACAGATGAAACTTCTTTGTTGCAGAAATCTTTGAAAGGAAAGCACAAAGCTCCCCCCTCCCCCACAGAATCTGGAAGTTGAGTCATGGCAACTGGACTTCTGTCTTATTAGGTTGAAATAATTCGCTACTCATCCAAGTAGGTTGTTCAAGTCTGAGGAGAGTTGGTAGGAGATACCTGGATATATCCTCCACGTTAGTGTCACTTCCCCCTGGTCTGAATAAGATCATTAGACGGACAAAGGACTTGGGGGGTCCATTGTACCCCAGGTTGTTTCATCCATTTTGGTTTTTACTGAAGGCAAAAGTAAGTCTGAAGGAGAAAACATTGTGAGATGTGTTTATATTTGACAGGACAGGAGGAGTTAAACATTTATCATCATACCTACCACTTCTCTCCTGGAAATAACTCCCCTGCCTGAACATACATGTTGTCTTGGGAAATACTGGGTTATTGATTGATTGATATGATTTGATTTGATTTATAGACTGCCCATCTAGAATGTGTCTACTCTGGGCAGTTTACATATAACATAAAAAATAAACTAAGGCAAAATCCAGGTTAGGGGCATGAATTTCCCAAGACAACATGCAGCCCTTCCCTCAGGGCACTCTTGGACATTGTCCTCAACGTCTGTGTCTCGGTCTTAAATCAGACACTTCAGCACCGCATTAAGAAATATAGACCATGATAGAACAGCTCCAAACGAAGTCCCTTGAGTAGTAAGTTGCCGAGTGTTTGCAGAAGGTGCAGAGCAGTGCTGGGCACCTTTTATTTCCTCAAGAAATCTTTCACCGCGTATGTGTAACAGGCTGCCTACAAAGAGGAACCTGAAGGAGCATTATCCATGTCGATGATCCACGCTGGTTTAGGTATCATAAGTTTCTCAGATAAATGAGCTGGTGAAATAGTCTTGGCCTGATAAGCAGTTGTGCAAGCTCTGGAAACAAACACATAAGTGTTGCATTAACATCATCCCCAATATCCATGAAACATGAGCTATTTAAGCTTCTTGGATGAAATCAAAAGCCATTATCGTATACTGTGTAAACTTTGGGTATGACTCAGTCACTGTGAGGTACTCTGAGGTCCCATTGATTCCTAGAAGAAAACTAAGCACATGTTCTCTTATTGAAATAGATGGGATCAGAAAGTACTTAACATGTTCTCTCTTTCTGGGAAGCTAGAGTTCTAAGTGTCCCTGCTAAGCTGTAAATCTGCTTACTTCATTACTACTACAGCTGCTACTACTACTACTGTTATGACTACCAATGACAGTAGTATAACAATCCAATCTTCAGCCAGCTTCATATGCATTTCTTACACATATCATTCCTCTTTACTGAAAAATGGGAAGCTCTCCATTTTCCTGGGAGCCACAGCTAAAATCGCTGCTGGTTTCAGAAAGCACACATATTGGAAAGAAACGCCACACTTATTTCCTAAGGGCTTCCGAAGTTCACTACTAATGCACACTGTCACAATTACTGTACCTGCTTTTTACTAAAGCCAGCAAGATGATTCCCAGGATCGGGATTAGGCAAGAGATGTAGATAGCGATGATGATTGTGTCATCTAAAATTAAATGGTGAAAGCAATTACAATCGTAGTTAAAGAGTGTTTGATCCAGTGTCAGTATTTAAAGTAAAAATTAAACACCATGGATCACCCCAAAATTCACATTTTTATTGTCTGTGAAATTCACAGAGTGGTAGGGGGCATGTGTACGTCACTCTGTGTGAAATGTATGTGATATTAAACAAATGTATGGTTGCTAGATCATGTCCTGCTTTGCATTGTACAAGGGCCAAGTCTATACAAAGTTTTAAAAGACCCAGGACCCACATTTAGCACTTATTACCAAGCACACTGAGGTTCTTATATTAGTGCAATATTTTGGAGACCTTTTACAGATTAATAAATGGTTCCTTAATTGGGAGAGAGCAGATATTTCATGATTCTTACTCTACTAGGGTGGAATATAGCCAGCAAATAAACATAAGAATCTCTGACAATGCTATAGCACTTAATTACTCGAGCAGTTAATTCTTCACAGGTCTGAATATTATTAGCATCCATAAATTGGGCATATATGCAGAAAATCCACTGACTAGACAAGTGGCAATTAAGAATGTCTTGTCAACTCAAGAAACTATTTTCATTTCCTGTAGTCTTATAAACAGTGAAGCTTTAGAAGTAAATAATTGCCTCAAATGTCAAACACGTGTCTCAACAGCATTTCCTCTGGAGACAGCCTATGCCACGTATATTGTCAGTTCACGAGAAACAATGCAAATTTTGAACTATGAAGTTGTATTTGTATAGTAAGAAAGGTATTGCCATAGTGTTTCAATTATGTAAAGTTTGGATCTTTGAATCTAAAATCCGAAACTTCAGATAGAAAGTATGATCTTCTGATTTGACCAGATTAGAACTCAATTCCTGTTGAAATAAGTGACTTCAATTCAGCCATGACTCTGTTGTCTCATTCACTTATATTGTATATAACCCATAGCGCATCAGTCTTCTGTATGCACTGGCTGATGTGTAGGTGTAACCAACCTGTATATTATTTTATCTGAGCAGACCCTGCCCCCCCAGCATATGCCAAAAGTACCAACAAGGCAAGCCAGAGTTCAGGTTGCATCCACCTTCTGACAAAACTATAGTGATTAAGTTAGAATAGTGACAAGTAACTTTATCTATGAGATATAATGCAATGCAGTTTGATCATAATGGGCCTTTGGAGGTCCCGTTCACTGATTCTGTAAGAAAATGTAGAAGAGTCTTTGCTACTCAAAAAGGGTCATGTGTCTCCTGCCATCAGCACCTCTAATCATTGTGTTAACACTTCATTTGCCTGCAGTTTTATTAACAAGTGGGAGCTAAAACACTTTGATACTAGAATGAGCACCTTTCAGTGCAGTTGTATCAGTGGCCACAATCATTTCCATATCCGAGACAGAGACTCAGCATGGCCAGTGACTAAGTCTGCAAGCAGCTCCCTGCAGGGCTCAGAAAACTGTGTGGAAACATCAGCTTCTAAGAGCAGGCCTTGTCAATAATTTGAAAATGAATTGGTTTCATTACTTGGCACCATGCTTTAGGCAGATTTGTTAGGGAGTTTTGTTAGGGAGCCCATTGCAGCTCTTCATAATATGATATTTTTACAGTCAAGCTTACCATAAGACAAAGACTGTTCGCCAGTTGCAGGGAGTATTTCTCCATGTAGATCCATAGAGGATAAGTTAAGATCTATCTTTCCACCTGATATTTGATCTTCAGAAGAAAGAGAAGAAATTAAACAACAGTAGTATGAAAGACAAGTGGACCCTACAGCAAAATTCATTTAGTAAATATTTAGTGACAATTCATTCTTTGTCACATTCTTTCATTGTTAATTTGCTTCTCAGCTGAAAGTTTGTGCCTTATAAGGGAAGTATGGTGAAAGTCAGTGGCCAAAATCCTGTTGCTTAGTGTAGTATATCATGCTAGAGTAAACCCATTGAATCAATAGGGACTTGGTGAGCCAACTCTTCCTTAAGTTCCTTTGATTCAAATGTGCTTACTCTGTTATTACCTACCTAGTCACATCATAACAGTTTGTAAACTTTATATCAAACCAGTTAAAATCATCACCAGATACAAGACTCTGTTATAACAAGGTCAGCAAAGAGCAACTTAAGTTCTTGCCCTATAGCAATTGGGTTAATTAAATTTCCAAGCAGGAAATGCTTTGTGCAGGGTTGAATCAAATAATGAATACTAGAGATGGGGGTATTTGTCTACGAATATTCCCACACAGCTGGACGTAACAAGCGTCCGGCCCCTGGGGTCGGACCGTCCAATCACATCTCCATTGGTGGCGGCAGCCCTACTCATCTGTCCAATCGCTCCCAGAGCCCCACTCTCTTTCCTGCTTGGCTGGCCACTCAGCAGCTGTGCAGGGAGGCTCGTCCTCCCTCTCCCTCCCTGGAGTGGCTAGCTGAGTGGGAAGAGAGCAGCACTCCCTCTCTTTCCTGCTTGGCTGGCCACTCAGCAGCTGTGCAGGGAGACTCGTCCTCCCTCCCCCTGCCTGGAGTGGCTAGCTGTGTGGGAAGAGAGCAGCGCTCCAGGGGTGATTGGAAGGATGTGCGGGGTGGCTGCTGCTGCCAGATGTGCGGGTGGACAGTCCATCGCTGAGTGGGAAGAGAGCAGCACTCCAGGGGTGATTGGAAGGATGTACGGGGCAACTGCTGCCGCCGCCAGATGTGCAAGTGGACAGTCCAACCCCAGGGCAAGACCCTTGTTAAGTGCAGCTGCGTGGGGTTATTCATGTAAGAATACAAATACCCGCATCTCTGATGAACCTAAAACGTCTGGAGAGCCAAAGGTTCCTTTCTTCCGCTTTAAGACATATGGAAGAAATCACCAACTAAATTTAGAGATGGATCATATTTGGGTGGACACCAAGACTTCTCCTGCCTGTCACCTCCTTTTACTTTATTTGTGAGATTCAGGCCACAAAACATCAATGGGCTAAAACACGCTGCTTTTGCATGGCAGCCATTTTGCTCTAAAATTGATATGAAAGTATAGTAGGAGACCCCCATATCCACAGGAGAACAGTTCCAAGACACACACACACCCCACCCACGGATGCTGGAAAATGCAGATCATAGTGAATGCTATTTTTAATAGCGAACACTATGCATAGCATGTTCTCTAGCTCCCTGTAGTGGCCAGTTCTGATAATAACAGTGTAGAAATATATTTCTATTAGAAATGGGGGTATTCATATTCATATACTGTACGAATATCCCTGCGCAGCCGGATATTATTAACGAGGGGCCAGCCCCTGCGGCTGACCCATACACTCCTGTGTCCAGTGGCGGCAGCCTTGCTCATCCTTCCAATCACTCCTAGCTGAGCAGGAAGAGATCAGAGGTCCGAGAGCCATTGGAAGGATGATCAAGGCTGCTGCTGCTGCTGCCAGACGCATGAGTGGATGAGTTGGCTGGAGGAGCTGGCGCGTCATTAAGTCCAGCTGCGTGGGGATATTCGTATTTGTATATGAATATGAATGCCCCCATCTCTAATTTCTATACTGAAAATATACATAGATCGGTCTCTGGCTCTCTCTAGTGGCCAATTCTAGTAACTTTGTCTTTAGAAATATATATTTCTAGGATTTATCTTTTAATATTTTTAGTATTTTCAGATTGTAGGTAAGCGAACCAGCATATACTGATTCCGTGGATAAGAAAGGCCCTCCTGTAGGCTCATTTCTGTCTGCTGCTCCAAGGGGAGGATGCATCTAGCCGTGATCTTTCAACTTACTGAGGCAGGATTTGCTGTGGAGTGTCTGCTGGAACCATCTGCATACCGAGAGTTCCTCCGCGGGCGAGGTGTCACAGGTGCATTCAACTCGAAGGACAGACCCCCAGAGGCTCACATAAGCCGCTCTGCACTCAGTGCTGTTGGAGCAGATCAGATCATCTGAGCCCAAAAACTGCAGGCAGTCTTTATCTTCGAGGCATGCTTGGCTGACGGGCTCCAAACACTTTGATGTAAAGGCCTGATACTTGGCCCTGCAGAACATCAGAGAAACATCCACCTACATATGCATTCCTAGTATTTCTTTTCATTGTGAGACATATGAAAAGATGAAGGACAGAAAGTAAATAATAGAACAAAAGGAAAAACTGAGAATCGAAGTGAGGCACACATCAAGAACTACACAGCTTGGCCATTATTTGACCAGTATTATACTTTTAACTTATAGTCCCCACAGGCTGAATAGGATCCATTCTGAAACGAAGGGACTTGAATGTGCTTTGTCAGGGCTGGCCTGTGGCTCTAATTTTTAAACACTTATGGCAATCTCTGCTGGATTAATACAGAGATGCCTGTAAGAGGTGTATTGACTGAACATAACAAATAGTTTGGGGAAAGCAAGGGCTGCTATATGAGCATAAACTATGAGGACAATGAGCAGAGCCTTCTGCCACTCCTGGCTACCTTGGGAAGATGGAAAGGTGGGTAAAGCATTGCACAGGTATCCCGCTGATGTTACTGGATAGTGGCAAAATAAAGCTGTTGATATGGATCTTGGGAGAGAGGTGCCACACATACGAAATTGAGCAAAACCTATAGTCTTACTTACCAACAGAGGTTGTCTGCTTGGCATGAATGAATTACACTGAGACAGGAAGGTTGTGGAATGGCATGGACTGCACATGGTTGGCCATGAAGGAGCTCTTTGGCTCGATGGCAGTTTTCATCTGACTGGATGCAGTCGCAGAACGTCATCATCTGGGCAATGTTGAAAGGCATATTTTCATAGAAGGCCCGCAGGGCTCCTTGGCATCGATGAACATTGCACTGTGTTCCATTTAACTGGCAGGCTTGAAGGTACAGAGCTAATTGTCTGTTACAGACTTCGTCGTTAACACATTCCACATTTACTTGGAAGCAGGACTGCCTATGTTTGTATTCTAAAGGAACAGGAAAAGGGTCACCAATTTTAGGGAAGTGAATATGAGGTCTCATCAATCTGGTGAGCACCAAAAACTATTCATTTTATTATTTCTCTATTTTAGATCCCATCTTTCCTCCAATGAACTCCAGGCAGCATACATGACTCCCTTCCACCTAACTTTATCCTCACAATCATCTTGTAGGGCTGGTCAGGCTGAGAAAGAAAGTGACTGGCCCAAGAAAGCTGTGTTTCATGGCTCAGTGGAGACCAGAACCTAGTTTTCCGTGGTCACTCACCTGAAATTGTTACATACTCACCCCTGGATATGTAACCAATTGGTATTAGCAATCATCCTACATGCATTCTGAGACAGGCCTTCCCCAATCAGGCACCATCCAGATTTGTTGAACTACAAATCCTATTATCCATAGATCCATCAATCTGGCTAGGCAAGGTGGAAGTTGTAGTCTGACAAAGCTGGAATTTGTAGCTTGGGGAAGGCTGACATAGAGGAGATATACAGTAATCCAATTCTTTAAGAAAAAAACTCCAGTTTATGAATGTGGGATATTGTGCTTCTGCACTCAGGATTCAGAAAGTCAGGAAATGGCCCCATATTGCTGTACAACATTTTGCCCGCATTGCCAGCAAGAAAAAGGATGCCAGGCTTTACATAGCAAAGGGCAGCCTGAATGTTGACGACACCAATGTTGGTCTACGGGGTACCCTCTTCTGCTCACTACCATTCAAACTTGTTGAAAAACAGTTCTGAGAATTGCTTTGTATTGGGAGAGAAGTGGTTAACTAATGAAAAAAGGAGCCTTCTAGGCATGTCAGAAAGAGTCCAGTGTTGCAAACATCAACGTACGAATAAACCTGAAAAGGTCACTTTTAAGGAATAGCTACCACAGTTATCAAATCACTAAACCGAATCTCATAACTTCTTCACACACAGCACTTCTAGGGATGTTTCAAATGACATGATCATAGATGGATAAGCCAAAGAAAAATGCTTATGAGTATTCTTGTGAAACATAAAATTTCTGATTCTTTCAATGTGTTTTATAACAGGCAACCTCTGAAGGGCTAGGAGACCTTGGTTCTCACCCATGGATGTTTGGTGGGCTGCACCACAGCCTTTCAGTTTTTCACCTCTCCCAGAAACCTTGGGAGAACCATTTGCCATTTAAATGCAACACATGCACAGTCAAAAACAGGAAGGCACTGCCTGGTCACTTCCAATTTATATATATATAAAAGGTTAAATCTGGATTAAATGAGGTTTAAAGACAAAATTGCATTTAAATGTAGAGTCTATGGTGAAATTACTTAGATGAGGGGTGACCACACACTGGGTCCTGAGAGACTGAGAGAAGGGCCTCTTAGAAGATCTTTAAAAGGCAGTGGCTTCCTTTAAGGACCAACACAACATCTTTTCCAATTTGTGTGTGTGTTCATTGTGCTAACCTAACCGGGGGGGGGGGCATACTTTCTCATTCACAGTCTCTGTGGATACAAACAAGAAATCCATATAAGACTGACATTTACCATAGTTCGAAAGAGCTGATGGCTTCCATTGTGATTTTATTTCCATTTTATCTACGACAAAAGAGATACAAAATTCAATGGATTGTACATAACATTTTATTTCTACGTTTGAAAGTGAAACTGTGTAGCTTCAGTGGAGCAAAATTTTAACAAGAAAAATGCTTGGAAATAGTTTCACTTAATAAAACCAAAAAGATTTTAAACAAAAGCTTCAGTTTCTGTGAGGTGTAATCCAAAAACAGGAACATTTCGAGGTCTGTTCTAGACAGCTGTTCTGATATGATCACTTTCAAAGTCTACCTATTATTTGTATTTTCCTAGATTACCGAGAAGGCATAGTATTAAAAAGCAATAACATGAATAGGTGATTTAATAGGTACATGTGGGCAATCAAGTTTAAGTTTATAGAGGTCTTTGATACTGATTTCTGTGCACTAGTTGCATAATGCAACAGCTGCAAAAGATGGGGGAGTCTCATTCATATCAATGAATGCCTTTTCAGTTCTCTCTTTACAGCCTATCAGAGTTGCAGATCAGATTCATTTACCTCAGTTGGCAAGGAGACCCTGAAATGTGGGCATAATCACGGAAGTCTGGGTAAATAATATTTTGGCAACATTGAATTAAAGCAACATGGAATTAAAAGGGAGGCCAAGCAGATGGCATTCAAGTAACCTGGTGTTACACAGTCAAGGTTGAGTGGTTATCTGTGTTGAGGAGAGGAAGGGCAAATGTCCAGCTTAGACAACAACGACTGTTCACAGGCCAAATGGATTGCAGAGTGATTCTCCCCATGGTTGGAAATGGTATTTGGTTATGAGGTGGTGGGAGAGATTCTGGGGGACAGTCTGATAAAAGTCAACCACTATGTCAGCAATGTCACATTTCTTAAGAAATAGGTACTGTTCTTTTTAACACTTCACTCTTACACATTTGTATTTCTTAGTGAGACTCACTGAGCTCATTGGATATGCCTTCCATGTGAAGGCAATAGCTCCAGGTTTGTTTCTTTAAGGAGGAAAGTGGAACAGAGAGGGTTGCCATGCTCCCATTGGACAGCTCATCTTCCAAACATCATCGCTTTTATCTTAGAACTGTGGAGCTAGAAGGGACCCTATGGGTCATCGAGTCCAGCAGCTATCAAGGAGGCACAAGGAGGTGGGGGGGGGAAACAAGCTCCCAACCTCTGGGTCTGCAGCCAGATGTGTAAACCCTTGAGCTGTCAGGACCACATTGCACAGAGGGTCAGGCAAACCAGAAGGGGTTTTGAGGTGGCTCCAGAAGATCCTGACCCTTGGAGGAGACTGTTGATGGGTGCCCCACCCTGAGAGACAGGGCCACCTCCTTGCCATAGAGACTAGCCACATCTGAAGACATGGGCTAGGCCAGGGTCCACTATGAGGGCTCCAACTGGAATGGACAGAGACAGGGGCTGGATTGGAGTGCCTTCAGAAGGACGCAAGGTGGGTTGGGCCCCAATCCATGTGCACTTGCTGAGGTATGAACTGGGTCAGGGAAGCAGCACGGATGTTCTAGTGCACCGTGAGGTCAGAAGAACATGCTGTGTAAGTACAGCCAGTTATAACTGCATAGTCAACACTGGGTATTCACAACACCATTGTGGCTTATAACAGAATTACCCATTTGATGGACTGCCACCAACTACCACACAACTGTGGAAATTCTGAATTGCTTTCCTTTATTGTGTCACTGGTTGGCACTTACTTGCACTGAATCCTTGAATTCCCTCCTCTGTGTGGATTTCCTTAGTAATTGTTGAGACCTGATACACCTGTGTGTGCTGTAAACAGGTGTTATTAAATATATTTTCCCATACTTCAGTGCATCTTTTCTGCACAGGTTCTGGGCAGGTGCACTTCCCTAGGACTGTGTCCTCAAGTGCCTTCCGTGCTTCCAAGCATTGCTGGAGGCTACATGTGGCTCTGCAGACCCTTTGGAAAGTCTGATATTGCGTAAAACAAGCATCATCTGCCTGGCACATTTCCTTGGCAACAGAGCAGTCACTTTCTCTTACACCTGAGAGAGCTTCCTGTTCTGATTTTGTTTGCTGCAGAAACTTCGGGTGAACGTTCATGGCAGAAGAAGACTCTGATTTTCCTGCGAAAGAAAGACATGGCTCCAAAAGAAGTTAGACAGACCATGTGGAAATATTTTTTTTTTCAAAATAGAAATTTTAGGAGGGCTTCCAGACGATGCAGAGAGTCCTTAGTGAAGATAGTGGTAGCTTTCAGAGTACTGACAGGGAAGGGAAGGGACGGAAACGTCCCTTCTTATCATTTTCATCCGCTCCTTTAAGCTACTGTGGATTTTCATTGCATTTTATTTGCCTCTAATTTTCACCTTTCCTTTCAATGTTCTCGTCACTCCACCCCCTTCATGAATATGACCAGCTTAGAAGCCATTTCTAGACCAAGACTAGTCAATAATATGTAGCTCTTTTTAATTTTGTGAGATGTCAATGTCCTTTCCCATTAAAAGTCCGAATTATACGGACTTTTTGCCCCCTTGCATAGGTGTCAAGGTACAGATCTTGCAGCCATAAGAAAATAAAGTTGGAGTCACTCTCCTTTGCTCCATAACTTTGCTCAGATTTATACTCAAGAGCCCACAATAACACCCAGATAATATTTGTCATATTAAAGATGGGCAACAGCTTTGAATGCCACTGCCTATTTCCTCTAAAAGTATACAAGACCTTGACTATGATTTAAAATAGTCAAAACATTCTATATCCCAGGATTGATCCTAAAACAATTTACTCAACTGATGTTTGCAACTGTCAGAGATTTAAGGCACCCAAAAGGCTTTAATTTGGCTAAAATGATAGACCATGTTACAGACGGTCCAATAATTTTCATGATCTCCACTTAGATGACTAACGTCATTCCAAATGCTTGGAATCCAGGTGCTTCTGCATTTACTTAGAAGAGCCATGAAGTCTTGAAGCACTGACTAATTGATATTGTTGCAAAAGGATTTGGAAATCGCAAGCTTCCAAAAGCTAGACTTTCCCCCCCTCAGCTGCAATGCATGTATTACTTGCCATTATTTTGAATCATAGGTGAAAGTCAGGCATTACCTTGATTTTTGAAGCATTGCTGGCCATGGAATGATTTGATGCTGCAGTTGTCTTTGATGCACATGCAGTCTTTAAACTCTGGGTACAGGTTAATTAAGAACTGGATAACTTTATTACAGTTAGAGGAATCTTTCACTGTGCAGCTGTCCCCTGGATTTCAAAAAGACCGTGATTATTAATACCTAAGAACAGATAAAATGCAACCACAACATTTTTCTGTTAAAAATCCTGCAGTATCTCAAGGCTTATTTTATTGGGGCATAACTGAATGCATTTGATGAAGCAAACCTGAATCTGTACAAGTTCATGCTACCATGACAACCACATTCTATTCTAATGAAATATGTGTTGGGGGGGCTATGTATATAATAATAATTAATAGTTATGTGCCACAAAGTCAATTCTGACGTATGGAGACCCTTTCTAGGGTTTCTTGAATACTCTGAAATGATTTTCCATTCCCTTCCTCTGGGGGCAGCTTGCCCAAGATCACACAAGTTGAGTCTGGAAGATGTAAGAGGATTGAAACATATAGGACCCCTTTTATCTATCTATCTATCTATCTATCTATCTATCTATCTATCTATCTATCTATCTATCTATCTATCTATCTATCTATCTATCTATCTATTTATTTATTTATCTATTCATTTATCTATTCATTCATTCATTCATTCATTCATTCATTTATATGATGCACTTTTAAATTACCCATCAATCAGAGCTGTGTGGATGGTGTAGAATCTGTTTTTAAAAAAGGCAAAAGAAGCAGAATATGAAACCTAGTTAAAATTGGAGGCAGAGAATATAACGTATAAAAACACATTAAAACAGCAGGTGGATGAGATGCACAAAAGCATTAAAACTGTTCTTCAAATGTATGGAACAAGAAAAAGAGTTACATTTTTATTTCCAACAGATACACTAATTTTACTCCATAAGTCTGATGAAATGGACTTGTCCATGAAAGCTCATGAGATTTTTATTTCTTCTTTTAATTTTTTAAATTTTTATTTGGGTTCTGCCTGATATGCTTGCACTGACTAACACAGCTACTTCTTTTAATACTAAAATCAATGGAATTCAATTTTATTGTCAAATTAATGTGAATCCCATTGATTTCAGCAGGTCTGTTCCAGCTAGTAGCAAGTCTGCATCCAGACTCTTTGCTTTGACTTTTTCTGAAAGCTGCTGTTGATTAACCATACACATTATGCATTTTTTAAGAATTATCCAGCTGAACATGCTTTTCATCAAATATTTGCTGATCAGTTCGCCATGATCAATGACTAGGCATATGACCAGGGATGGGGGGATTGCAATTCACTGTTGAATCTGACTCAAGTTGTACCAGCGATTCAACTTGGGTTTTTGTTTTTTTTTAAAGAGTCACATTTGACTCGGACCCTTTTTACCAAGTCATATTTCCAAGTCTCAACACAGAAGGAAAGAACGGCTCTTTGGGGCAAACTCCCCCCTCCCTGGCCCTCAGGACAGAGGAGGAAGATAGTAGGCCACTTATCATGGCCGCCCAGAGAAGGTAGGATGAGGCAGGGAGGGAAGGAGGGCAGGCAAGCAGTGAACAGAGGAAGAAGAAGAGGAGGGCTGGTCATTTCCACACCCAGGGGAAGCCCTGCCCATCCATCTGGGTGCCACTGTGCCATCTCTCAGTTCAGGCAATGCCAAGCAGATGGACCCCCACCTCCATTGGAAGGTGGTTGTTTTAAAAAAGGCTGGCCTCATGGCCTGTGGGGGGAGGAGGAGAAGGCAGAACCCGCCTCAGAAAAGGCAGGGGAGATGTGGACCAGGGACTCAGACCCAAACACTTGCCAGCATTCCTGCTTGTAACCTTAAATCAATTTATTGCCAAGATAATAAATTCTTATTTATTTATTTATTTATTTAATTTATACCCCGCCTATCTGGCCCACCGGACCACTCTTTTAAGTTGTTGCACCAATGAACCTTAAATCAATTTATTGCCAAGATAATTAATACTTTTTTAAGTTGTTGCACCAATATGTGGAATATTTGGCCAGTAGAAGCGTGATCATATTGCTCCTCTGTTTCTAAATACTGCTTTATCATGTGAATGTTGAGAGGAAATTTGCAGTCATGGCATTGCCTTTGAAAATAAGCATATGAACCGAGTGAGCATTGATGGGTGTCCTGAAATGTGCTGCAAAATAATGCCTGGCATTAGACTCTCTTCGTGCTAATAACAGGGCATAAACTTTTCGAATGCTCCAATACCTGCAGAAAGTAGAGCAGCAAGTAACAGCCTGTGTAACATCTGCAGGTTACTGAAGCGACAGGGAGATGGCCTTTAAGAGCAAAAACTGCTCAGAATTCAATTAACAAAATAAGGAGACTTTAATACACTTTGTATATCATTACATGTGCTAAATTGCGTGCATTTCTTTTATGAGTGTTCCGAGGTTTATTCAGAGTGTTGATTCAGCTGCTCGTTTAAGGCGGCAGAAATTCATTTATGCCAGAGTCAGATTAAAAAACATATATTGTTCCCTTTATTGTTGAGTAGAGAGGCTATTGGCAAAGACTTCGTTGAGTCGACAGTGTCAGATGTTCCCTGTGATTTAGGATCTGTGTATATTAAGTGTTCAGTGACCTCGTGTTGACTTGTACTACCTTCAGAGAAGCCGTGTACCTTTTTGGCTAAGAGAAATCCATGATTCATCATGGATCATATCACCTGTCCCAAGAGGAATTTTTCTGATTGGTTACAGTGGTTTCCATTTTAACACAGAGTTTCCATGCAAATAGACTTGCCTTTTTTTAAAAAAATATTCAAGAGGGCAAGACATATATTAATGAAATGTCAGGAGGATGGTGAGAGGCAACTTCGTGGTAAAGGAAAGAGATTTTAAGGGAGGGGTCTAATCTGCTTCTTCACATCAGGAACAAGCCAATGCCTCAGAGCTATGAGCTTTAAAGCAAACAGCAATAAAACATTTGTATTAATATGTCTGCGATTATGACCACATTTTCTTGAAACACTCCCCCCCACACACTTAAAATTAAAAACAAAACCCCAAGACTTTTTGAAACAATCTTAGATTGATCATCCTTCCCCCAGCCATCCATTGGAGCAGGCCTAGAGATATTGCGGTAAACTGTATACAGTCTTACTGTGGGGAATTAACAATTAAGATTTGTAGTAGGGGTCAGGTGTCCTCCTAAGGAAACATGGGGAAAAGAGCCCCCTATTATAACAGAGTTGTACTTAAGAGTTTCCAGGCCTCATCTAGTTGTAGCTAAAGGCTCTGGACATTGATGGATCATTGTAATTTCTCAATTAACACTTAAATTATTTGTGAAGAAACGATAAGAGTGGTCTTAATTGACTAGATAGGCGGGATATAAATAAAAT